CAGAACTGTTCATAAGAATTTATAACAGAATGGTTGTTTGCATAAGTTCAATAATAATCTGGTTTTTTTGTAACAAAATGTGACTGGAAACACTGGTTATCTTAACAAGGCTTTCAGTCGGCCTCGGTGGCTCAGCCTGTCATCCCGCGCCTTTGGGAGACTGAGGTGAGTGGATTGCCTGAGCCCACAGGTTCGAGACCCGCCTGGGCAACTTGGTGAGACCTCATCTCTACAATAAATCAAAAAATGAGCTGGGCATGATAGCGCATGCCTGTAGTTCCGCTACTTGGAAGGCTGAGACAGAAGGATCACCGGAGCCCAGCAGGCGAGACTGCGGTGGCCGGGAATGGCCACTGCACTCCAGTCTGGGCGACAGAGTGAGACTCCAACTCAAAAAAGAAAACAAAAAACAAAAAACCAAGGCTTTCATTGGAATAATATTTCAAAACAGACTGCTTTAAATAATTAAGATTAAGGCTTAATCTAATCTGAGATGCCTTATGGGGAAAAAAGTTCCAACAAAGCCAATTCAAAAAAGCCTATATGGCAAATAATCTTGTTAGCACTTTATGCAAATATATATTAAGTCTAAAACTTATTTTGCAAGTAAACTAATCCTACAATAAATTGTCTTTAATAAAAATGGAAACTAGCCAGAAAAGAAAATTATGTTTCGAAAGAAACTGCGGTACATCTGTTTTAAATTCTCTTGTTCATGGTTTTCAAGTTTTATTGTTTTCTACAATTTAAATTACATCATAAAATCTTTTCTGGGAGCAAGTGTCCAAGCTAACATTTTCAGGTTTCAATTCAGATTGTATAGAAGATTCACTTGAGTGCCTGGTTCAAATTACAGTCCAGAAAAATCTGTCAGGTTGCTGTGATAGTCTAGAAATACACCAGAAACTCTAAAAGCTAGTTTATAAACAATTCCAAACACTAGCCTGTTTTTCTTCTGTCTTCATGGAAGTGTCTTTGATTTTTTAAAAAATCTGTAGGCCAGGCATGGTGACTCAGACTGTAATCTCAGCATTTTGGGAGGCTGAGGCAAGAGGACTGACTGAACCCACGGGTTCGAGACCAGCCTGGGCAACTTGGTGAGACCTCATCTCTACAATAAATCACAAAAACTAGCCGGACGTGGTGGTGTGTGTCTGTGGTTCCAGCTACTTGGATGGCTAAGGTGGAAGGATCGCCTAAGCCCAGCAGGTAGAGGACACGGTGGCCATGAGCGTGCCACTGCTCTTGTTGGGCAACAAGAGTGAGACTCCAACACACACACACACAAAAAAAAATCTGTTTATATACATTATCTATAAGGAACCAGCCCACCTGTAGTACCACCTTTGAAAAAAATAAAACACAGCTGTTACATGAAGTGATACAAATACAATACTTTCCTCTCAGGATTCTTTACTCACTCAGCCTCAACTTATAATAAAGCCACAGAAAATGAAGTTTATCATTTAAATTATGCTGGTAATCACAGGCCTTGTATCCTTTGTACAAAAAGTAATCAACTACCACCTAAATTGTGAAAATGTATATCTGGCTTCATTAATTTCTCTACTTGCTGCACATGGGGAGGTTTCCTTAAGTTATTTCTTTTATTGGGCTCATTGTAATGGTTATAATCCTGCTAATTTTTGGTCCATGTCTCTTCAACTGCCTGATTAAATTTATTTTTTCCAGAATCCAGTAATTCCATGACAATGGTCATACAAGAATTTCAACCAGTGCCTGCAAGCCGTGCCACCATTGAAACAGATCTAGACACCTTAGATCAGACAGGGAGAGATTTTTGATCTCTGGCTAGGCAGAACCATGCCCACTGCCAGCTTTGAAGAAGTTACAGAAGATGGACCTTCACCCCTCGGCACCCCACATGATTATGGGATTGAAAATCTCGAAGGGGGAGGTTGAGGCAGGGTAGCTATTGCAAGTTAGGCATAGACGGGTAAATTTCTTGTAGGCAGGTTTTAGAAAGCGTCCAGACATCCAGTTGGCAAGCTGAGCAATCCTGTGGGCTGGAATGTAAATTCAGTGTGGACTCCCAGTCCACCCCACCCCCTCAGCTCTCCAAGGGAAAACTCCATCGAGGTGGTTCCAAGACTAAGAATAAAAAAGCCATGGAAATGGTCATAAAACCACCCCTTCCCCCATAGAGGTGGAGAGATGCCAGTTTCTCTTTCTGGGCTCCACCCCTTTAGGCACATCAGTCGCTGTGAAAGTATATCAAGCCTACTGTAAATAGCAAAAAGTGTAGTTTCCCTTGCCAAGCCAGTTCTGGTATGTCTATCTTCCCCCCTCTTCTTTCTCTAATAAACTTTGTTTTAAAACTTTGCTGGCCACTCTAAAACTAATTTTAGGTTGAGTCAAAGAATCCACCAGTTTTGTGCCGCACCCCACCTGGAATCAGTACTCAACTTAACACGTGCTTGCACATGACCATATTGTGTTCATTATTTTAAATCAGAATTATATTTCTTTTTTTTTTTTTTTGAGTTGGAGTCTCACTCTGTTGCCCAGACTGGAGTGCAGTGGCTGCTCCCGGCCACCGCAGGCTCGACCTACTGGGCTCCGGTGATCCTTCCGCCTCAGCCTTCCAAGTAGCTGGAACTACAGGTGTGCACTACAACGCCCGGTTAATTTTTTAAATTTATTGTAGAGATGAGGTCTCACCAAGTTGCCCAGGTGGGTCTCGAACCTGCGGGCTCAGGCAATCCACTCACCTTAGCCTCCCAAAGGCACGGAATTACAGGCTAAGCCACCGAGCCCAGCTCAGAATTATATTTCTTTTATTTTATTTTATTTTATTTTTTTTTGAGTTGGAGTCTCACTTTGCTGCCCAGAGTGGAGTGCAGTGGCCGCTCCTGGCTACCGCAGCCTCCACCTGCTGGGCTCCAGCGATCCTTCCGCCTCAGCCTTCCAAATAACTAGAACTACAGGCGTGCACTCCCACGCCCAGCTAATTTTTTGATTTATTGTAGAGATGAGGTCTCGCCAAGTTGCCCAGGCGGGTCTCGAACTCGCGGGCTCAGGCAATCCACTCACCTCAGCCTCCTAAAGGTGCGGGATTACAGGCTGAGCCACCGAGCCCAGCTCAGAATTATATTTCTTTTATTTTATTTTATTTTATTTTTTTTTGAGTTGGAGTCTCACTTTGCTGCCCAGAGTGGAGTGCAGTGGCCGCTCCTGGCTACCGCAGCCTCCACCTGCTGGGCTCCAGCGATCCTTCCGCCTCAGCCTTCCAAATAACTAGAACTACAGGCGTGCACTCCCACGCCCAGCTAATTTTTTGATTTATTGTAGAGATGAGGTCTCGCCAAGTTGCCCAGGCGGGTCTCGAACTCGCGGGCTCAGGCAATCCACTCACCTCAGCCTCCTAAAGGTGCGGGATTACAGGCTGAGCCACCGAGCCCAGCTCAGAATTATATTTCTTTTATTTTATTTTATTTTATTTTTTTTTGAGTTGGAGTCTCACTTTGCTGCCCAGAGTGGAGTGCAGTGGCCGCTCCTGGCTACCGCAGCCTCCACCTGCTGGGCTCCAGCGATCCTTCCGCCTCAGCCTTCCAAATAACTAGAACTACAGGCGTGCACTCCCACGCCCAGCTAATTTTTTGATTTATTGTAGAGATGAGGTCTCGCCAAGTTGCCCAGGCGGGTCTCGAACTCGCGGGCTCAGGCAATCCACTCACCTCAGCCTCCTAAAGGTGCGGGATTACAGGCTGAGCCACCGAGCCCAGCTCAGAATTATATTTCTTTTATTTTATTTTATTTTATTTTTTTTTGAGTTGGAGTCTCACTTTGCTGCCCAGAGTGGAGTGCAGTGGCCGCTCCTGGCTACCGCAGCCTCCACCTGCTGGGCTCCAGCGATCCTTCCGCCTCAGCCTTCCAAATAACTAGAACTACAGGCGTGCACTCCCACGCCCAGCTAATTTTTTGATTTATTGTAGAGATGAGGTCTCGCCAAGTTGCCCAGGCGGGTCTCGAACTCGCGGGCTCAGGCAATCCACTCACCTCAGCCTCCTAAAGGTGCGGGATTACAGGCTGAGCCACCGAGCCCAGCTCAGAATTATATTTCTTTTATTTTATTTTATTTTATTTTTTTTTGAGTTGGAGTCTCACTTTGCTGCCCAGAGTGGAGTGCAGTGGCCGCTCCTGGCTACCGCAGCCTCCACCTGCTGGGCTCCAGCGATCCTTCCGCCTCAGCCTTCCAAATAACTAGAACTACAGGCGTGCACTCCCACGCCCAGCTAATTTTTTGATTTATTGTAGAGATGAGGTCTCGCCAAGTTGCCCAGGTGGGTCTCAAACCCACGGGCTCAGGCAATTCACTCACCTCGGCCTCCCAAGGCACGGGATTACAGGCTGAGCCACCGAGCCCGGCCCAGAATTACATTTCTTAAGAGACTCTAAAATACCCAAAGTAGATTCCACTTTTCTGTTTCACAACATTTAAAGACTTTCTAAATACACATTCATACTCTTACATTAATAGAGGCAATTATTTTTTAGTAGGAAATTATTTTTCCTATAAACATGAACTGGTATTCTAAAATAGGGTTCCATTGTTCTAAGATCAGTATGGTTTTTTTGTTTGTTTTGCAGGAGTATATCTCCTCGTTTTTTATGCAAGTCGAAAAATAGGATTTATCTGTCAGAATAGCCAAGAGGTTAGACTTTAAGGCAGGTACCACAAAGGTGAAGATGTTCACCCTGGTCTGGGGTGGTGTGTGGCCCTAGACAAGGGCCCGAGATCCTGGCCGTGGCTTCTTTGTGTGTTGAATGGGACCTTCACAAGGACAGTCGTGAAGAGCACTCAGGATGCCTGTCATGCATCGAGCGCAGAATAGTTATGATCTGTGGTTACTGTCGTGATTAAGGCGCTTCCTGTAAGAGCACAGGAATTTAAAAGTACTACACATTCAACATCACTATCAAGTCCATCCCTTTCCTCGTGCCTAAGAACCCGTGGGTTTGCCCATCTTGCTACGCACCTGGAAGAAAACTGCCATCAGCAGTTCCGCCACCTTGGAAGTCGGCTGTGGGCCACTGGTGCAGAAGCTGTGTTTTCCCTTTTTCCTAAAGTAAAACAGAGAACACATACATTGGAAAGTTGAAATTGTTATTCTTTCTACATGAGGAAAGAAAATAACTTTTATCCGAGAAATGTGAGTCCTTTAAAATGGTCAGGCTCAGAAAGTCATTAAAATGAGACTGCAATCATACCTGTCCCCACCAGCTGTGTATTCACTCCTTGAAATTGCTTGCTCTTGCCACAAATAGCTATACATTAACCTAACAGTGCTACACCAAACACTATAATCCATGCTATAGCTTAACAATGTATATATTGCCAATGAATAGCTGATGTTATTTTAAAGTAAATGCTTGGTAAACAACTCAGGAACTGCCTTTTCTTTCCCTTTAAAAATCCACTTGTAACTGTTGCTAATCTGAGCAGCAACTTGAACCTATGCTCCGGGGTTGCAATCCCCAAGCTTGGCCCAAATAAATTCTCTATTTATGTTAATTTTGCCTCAGTATCTTCCTTTTAGATTCTGTACTCAATTACAGAAACTGCAGCCAAACTTCTAACATACTAAGCCACAAAAAGTCAGATTTCAACTAGAAAAGGTTTTGTAGTGCAAGGCTAATACCACACACACACACACACACACACACACTGAGGGAGACTACTCCCCTAACATAATCGGCAGTGAAAACTGTACTCAAAGGGAAGTTTACAACTATAAATGCCATATTAAAGAGAAGAAATTCTCAGATCAATAATCTAGCTTTGAGCCAGGCTCGGTGGCTCAGCCTGTAATCCCGCGCCTTGGGAGGCTGAGGTGAGTGAACTGTCTGAGCCCGCGGATTCGAGACCCGCCTGGGCAACTTGGCGAGCCCTCATCTCCACAATAAATAAAAAATCAGCCGGGCGTGGTAGCGCATGCCTGTAATTCCGGCTACTTGGAAGGCTGAGGCGGAAGGATCGCCAGAGCCCAGCAGGTCGAGGCTGCGGTGGCCGGGAGCGGCCACTGCACTCCAGTCTGGGCGACAGAGTGAGACTCCAACTGAAAAAATAATAATAATAATAATAATAATCTAGCTTTGCATCTTCAGGAACTACAAAAATAATAAACCACATCCAAAACTAGCAGAAGGAAAGGAATCGTAAGGACTAGAGCAAAGATAAAAAAAACAAGAATAAAAGAAAATCTATTGTTTAAAAGTTGGTTCTTTAAGAAGATCAACAAAGTTAACAAGTCTTTGCCTAGATTGACAAAAAAATTCAAATAATTCAAATTCAAATAACTAAAATAAGTAACAAAATAAGTAAAATAAGTAGACACATTACTTTAGACCTTAGGGAAATAAAAAGGATTATAAGAGAATCCTAGGAACAATTGCGGACCAACAAAATTAGGTAATCTAGAAGAAGTGGACAAATCCTTTGAAACACACAGATTATCTAAACCGACTCACAAACACAAGGAAAAATCTCAACAGACTTACTTAACTAGTAATCACCAACCTAATAAAGAAAAATCTCAGACCAGATGGCTTCACCTGTGAATTCTACCAAACATTTAAAGAAGAATTAGTAGCAATTCTAAACTCTTCAAAAGTGGAAGACAAAGAAATACTTCCTAAATTAGTCTATGAAGACAGCATTACTTTGGTACCAAATCCAGATAAAGACATCACAAGAAAAGTATAGAGCAATATTCTTTATGAATTTAGATGCAAACATTTTCCACAAAATGTTAGCAAATCAAATACAATGGTAAATTTTTTTTAAAAATGTTGTTTGTTTGAGTCAGAGTCTCACTCTGTCGTCTAGGCTGGAGTGCAGTGGCATGCTCGTGGCCACCACAGCCTTGATCTGCTGGGCTCAGGCAATCCTTCTGCCTCAGCCTTCCCAGCAGCTGGAACTATAGGCATGCACTACCACGCCTGACTAATTTTATGATTTATTGTAGAGAGGTTTCCCCATGTTGCTCAGGCTGGTCTCAAACCCCTGAGCTCAGGCAATTCTCTCGCCTCTGCCTCCCAAAGTGTTGGGATTACTGGCATGAGCCTCCGCGCCCAGCTGGTATATTAAAAATGTTATTCATAACAACCAAGTAGAATTTAACCAGAAACGTAAGGGTGGTTCAACATAAGATCAATCAGTGTAACACACCACTTTAACAGAACAAAGGAGAAAGACCATCTGATTATCTCAATCAATGGAGAAAAAGCATTTGATAAAATTCAACACCCTGACACAATTAAAAACTATCAGAAAACTAGAAATAGAGTGAAAATTCCTCAACACAATAAAGCGTTCTTATGAAAAACCCACATTTCACATCATACTCAATAGCAAAAGACTGAAGCTCTCCTCCTAAGATTAGGAACAAGACCAGGATGTTATTTCCACCGCTGCTACTAAACATTGTACTGGAAGTTCTGGCTAAAGCTATCAGAGAAGAAAAATTAAAGGTAGCTAAATTGGAAAGACGTAAAACGATCTCTGCTCACAGATGACATAATCCTATATATAGAAACTCCTTACAAATCTACAAGAAAGTTACTGGAGCCAATAAGTGAATTCAGAAAAGTTGCAGGGACCAAGATCAACATACACCAATCATCTGTGCTTGTATTCACCAACCATGAACAACCCAAAAAGGACATTAAGAAAGTGCCATAGACTGAATTGTGTTTCCCTTCTCCCACATTCATATATGAAAGCCCTCACCCTTGCCATGGTGGTGTTTGGAGATGGAGCCTTTGGGAGGTAATTATGGTTAGATGTGGTCACGAGGGTGTGACTCTCATGACTGAATCAGTGCCTATATAAGAGGAGACACCAGAGAGCTCTCTTCTCCTGTGTACCCTATGGGGACACAGTGAGAAGGGGACCATCTGCAGCCAGGAAGATATTCCTCACCGGGACCCAGCCATGCTGGCACCCTGGTCTCAGAAGTCCAGCCTCCAGAACTGTGAAAAATAAACTTCCGTTGTGTCAGCCACCCAGTCTATGGTATTTTGTAATGGCAGCCCAGGCTAAGACAGAAAACAATCCTATTTACAACAGCACCTAAAAGAATTAAATACTTAGGAATCTAACCAAAGAGGCGAAAGACTAGTATGCTGAAAACTGAAATGTTGCTGAAAGAAATTAAAGAACTCAAGAAATGAAAATACATCCATGTTTATGAATAGGAAGATTGAACATTATTAAAATGTCAGAACTGGCCAGACTCGGTGGCTCAGCCTGTAATCCCAGTGCTTTGGGAGGCTGAGGCGAGTGGATTGCCTGAGCCCGTGGGTTTGAGACCTGCCCGGGCAACTTGGTGAGACCTTGTCTCTACAATAAATAAAAAATTAGCTGGGCGTGGTAGCGCACCTGTAGTTCCAGCTACTTGGAAGGCTGAGGCGGAAGGACTGCCGGAGCCCAGCAGGTCGAGGCTGCAGTGGCCGGGAGCGTGCCACTGCACTCCTGTCTGGGTGATGGAGTGAGACTTCAACTCAAAAAAATAATAAATAAATAAAATAAAATAAATAAGATAAAATGTCGGTACTACCCAGAGCAGCCTACAGATTCAGCACAATCTCTACCAAAATTTCAGCATTTTAAAAAATATGAAAAACCTGATCCTCAAATGTCTGTGGAATTGTAAGGGGCCCCAAGTAGCCAAAACAATCTTGAAAAAACAGACTAAAGTTGAAGGACTCACACTGCTCATCTTGGAAACATGTTACAAAGCTACAGTAACTAAAACAGCAAAGTTCTGGCGTAATGACAGCCATGTAGACTCATGGAATAGCATAGAGAAGCCAGAAATAAACCCTAGGTTTATGATAGAATTATTTCAGCAAGGCTGCCAAGATCATTCACTGAGGAGAGACAGTGTCTTCCTAAGTGGTGCTGGGAAAACTGAATGTCCACATGCAGAAGAATGAAGCTGGTCCCTTATTTTACACCCCACACAAAAGAAATCGACTCAAAATGGATACAACGTCTAAACTTCACAGCGAAAGTTAGGACATTCTTGGGAGAACACACTGGAGAATGTCTTCATAATTTGGATTTGGCAGTGGCTTCATAGATACGACACTAAAGACAGGCAACGAGAGGAAACTCAGGAAAGTTGGGCTTCCTCTACTGTGTTGTGCTCCACTTCCACCTCCCGCTTCTCCCACTGGAGAAGGGGGAGGTGTTTTATGTTGTTCTGGTTCCCTTAGAAGTCCTCACTTTGGGGCTCTCTGTGGTTGACTCCCGAGTCCTAGCAACAGCCAAGGCAGCAAGAGAGAACTCAGAGCTGACTGGGTTTCCCCAGGACTCTGGACCTTGGTGCTGTGTCCTGGCCCATACCCCCCCGCACAGCCAGCTAGACCGGGTCAGACCATCTTGGGCAGTGGTGGGGGGTTTATCGGAAACTCCTTGCCGGGCACTTCTCTCTTCCTTTGCTTCACTCACTGGATAGGGTCTTGAGGCGTAAAAGCTCTTCATTTTCACGAAGCCCAACGCTGTTCACCGGCTCAGCACAGAGCTGTGCCTGCCCACCTTGGCCCTCTCACCCGGCAAGCCCAGGAGAGCAAAGCGCTCACGGACTCGAGTGGGCCACGGAGGAAGCCCAGTCTGCAAAGCAGAAGCTTGCCCTGCTGCTCTGTGCTCAGGGAGGCGCCAGCCTGGGCTCCTGCTCCTGGAGAGACCTGTCTGACCCCCAAGGGCACCCATTCCCGGCCTCCCACCCGCAGCTCCCGGCCCCTCCCTGGATGACCAGACGCTCCTGGTGGCCTCATTTGCCCACAGCCCCACCCTCTGCTCCACTCTCACCTGCACGTGGGGCCTGTCTTCCCTTTCTAGAGTTCAAGCTCCTTCAGGCAGGGGTTTCCGGCCTCATTCCCTGCCTCTAGCTTTGCATTCCAGGCTCAGGGCTCCCCTCAGCGCACGTGTGTGGGAGGCAGGGGGGTCACAGCCAAGCACTGAACTCTGCAAGGGCCCCACCCCTACTGGGCTCCAGGACGTCCCCTTGGCCCTCACACCCCTCCTCAGCGGGAGGTGCTCCCGACAGAAACCGTCAGTCCTGCGGAGTCTGTATTTCCTTGGGTATCTCTACAGATTCCTTTTGGAAGACCCGTTGGAAGCAGCAGCGGGATCCAGGAAGCCACCGCCCACCGTCTGGCCCACCTGCTTTCTGGCCTCGGTCCTGTTGATGGTGCTGATGAGCCTCTGCACGGCCCCCGCAGCCTGCTTCCTGTAGGCGGCAGAGGACAAGAGGGGGAGCCAGGCGTTCCAGGAGTGCCGCGCCGCCAGCATCACCAGGGCACTGCTGCCTGCGATGCCACCGAATCTGAAAGAGGGCTGGTCGTCAGGGAGCAGCACCGCCAGGCCCCCTGGAGCTACTGGACTGGGACGAACAGGGTGAGCCTGGGTGCCGGGTGTCCGGCGATGCACTCCCTCCCTCCCTGGGCCCATGGCCTGTCCCCTCATGCGGGATGGAATGCAGGTCGGGCATCCCTGCTGTGCCCACTCTCCAGCAGAGTGGCTCTGGCAGCATGGGTCCAGCAGCCCCAAGGTCAGGCTGCAGGCACCCAGCCAGGAAGCCTCACCTCATCCCATGTGCCCCTGGCCTCCGGTTGAGCCCTGGGAGCCCACCCAGCGCACCTGGCACTCTCCATGAAGGCTTTGGCGGCCGCCAGCCGCAGCTGCTTCCTGCCCTTCAGGTTCTCCAGGATGCTCCTGCCCTGGATGCAGGCCGCAGTGCACAGCATCTCTGCCACCAGCTGGGCCTCAACCCTGGGGGACAGAGCACGTTTCCTGTGGCCCTGCACAGGCGGCATCCAGAGAAGAGGGCATCTCCCGTCCCGTGCACTCTTGCGCAGGGCCTTATCCTCCCAGAGTCCAGGCCAGCTTCAAGGGGCTCGCCCGACTGACGGGATGCAAGGCAAGGGACCCCTGGCCTTCTGAGACCTTGTCACTTGGCCTGGAATGTCTCCGTGTGGCGAGGGCGCCTTAGACACTCACCCTGGAGGTGCTCACAGAGCCACGAGGCTGGGAGGGGACTCATGGCCAGGGTGGAGAACGCCTTTGGGATGCCTGGCTGGGCGAGAGACCCCGGGGATGTGAGAGACGGCCCTGGGGATTTGGGAGAGACCCAGGGCACACCAGGTCATGGGAGAGAGCCTTTGGGACATGGAAGAGATCCTAGGCATGTGGGAGTTAGTTGCAGGGACATCCAATGGTTGTGACCCCAGCTGACCCTGACAGTAACCTTCTGAGACACCCCAAAGCAAAATCAACTGGCTGAGTCCATTCAACTCACAGAGCCCTGAGACAGAATCATTACCTGTTGTCGTAAAGGACTTATTTTTGGGGGGACAGCAGAACAAGCACCTTTTGGGGGCCTCCTCCCCACAACGGCACTCTGTTTCCCGGGCCCATGTGGAAGTCTGACCTCAGAAGGACCCCAGGGCAGCCTCGAATTGGAGCAACATCTGCTCCACCATCTGCCCTGGCACCGCTGTGGCCCGGGCTGCAACACCACCTGCTCAGGCAGGATTCTCTCCCCCCTGCACGGTAGGGGAGCACATCTCCGCAGATCAGCGCAGAGGAGGAACTGAACCTTTTTCTATGAGAAATAAGCTGGTTCGTGGGAAGACTCCCTTCATGGGCTCAGGGGCCCGGGGCTGGTGACCTGCAGGCAGGAGCAGAGAGCCCTTTGCCTTCTTCCAAAGGAGTCCAGGGAGGCAGATGCTACTCCTTGGCCTGCAAGAACATGTTGTGCATGCTAGGAGTCCATGGTCTGACACTAAGACCACCCTCCAAGGCAGGTGTGGCCACCTGGCAGGGTAGAAAGCGGCGTCAAGGCCTTGCCTGGTACTAATGTCCGAAGAATTTTGATCTTTCTTATGCAGTTGTTGGGTAGGGTGTTCTATGCATGTCAAATAGGTGAGGGCCATGGACAGGGTTACTTAATTCTTCTGTATCCGTACTGATTGCTCCCCCGGCTTTTTTTTAATCAGCCACTGAGAGAGGAATGTTCAAATCCACGGCCACTGTTGTTTGTTTTATTAATGATCAATGTTTGTAATTCTAACCCTGAATTGTACCCCACATCTTTATAATAAATAAATAAATTTAAAAAAAATCCACGGCCACAAGTAGTGTGCCTTGGCTGTTTGAGTAGGTAGAGCCACACCCGCTTTCTCATGACTGGTGCTCGCATAGATGTCGTCTCCATCTAACCCGTTACCTCTAACCCGTGTCTTTATATCTGAAGAGTATCTCTTGTACATAGCTTATAGTTGGATCTTGCTCTTTGTATTCCATGGGATAAATTCTGCGTTTTAACCGGAGTCTTGGTTCATTTATACTTAATGGAATTATTGATCTAGTTGGAGTTAAATCCACAATTTGCTCTTTGCTTTCCTTTTGTCCTATGTGTGCTTTGTGACTTTCCTTTCCGCTTTTGGATTAATTGAATTTTTTTTTAGTGTTTCAACTTATATCCTCTGTTCAATTTTTGTTACCATCCCTTGTTGTAGGGATGATAACACACATCCTTAACGAATCACAGTTCTTTCTTGAATTAACCCTATGTCACTTCACATTTGATGTCAGAGCCCTGAACAATGTATTTCTATGATCTCGCCTCCGTCCTCTGGGTCATTGCTGTCATACAGTTTACTTCTGCATTAACTACAGATTTCACAATGCAATGTGATTTTCGTTTTAAAAGGTCACATGTCTTTTAAAGAATTTAAGAGCTGAAGGAAGAATAAGTCAGTTTACCCATTTACCATTTCAGGTGTTTTTCATCACTTCCTGAACTAAGTTTGCATCTAGCATTATTTTCCTTTGGCTTGAAGAATTTCCTTTAATATTTCCTGTTCTAAGGGTCTGCTGGGAATAGATTCTCCCAGCTGTGTCAATCTTAAAATACCTTGATTTTCTCTTCATTTTTGAAGGCTGTTGCTGGTAAATATAGAATTCTGAATTGACAGGTTATTTTTTTTTTTCTTTTTTAACACTCAAAAAATGTCGTTCCTTGTATTCTGGTTTGCAGTGTTATTGTTTCTTTTCTTTTTTAGAAATAGGATCGCAGTATGTTGCCTAGGCTAGCCCTGAAGTCCTGGGCTCAAGTGATCTCTCACCACAGCTTCCTGAGTAGCTGCGACTATAGGCGTGTGCCACCTCGCCCAGATGGTCAGTATTGTTTCTGATGAGAAGTCAGCAGTAATTCTTCCCCTTGCTTTCCCCCACTCTAACTTCTTTCCAAGATCTGCTTATCTTTGATCTGCAGTAATTTGACTACAATTCACTACAACAAAGCCAAGTGTAGTTTTCTTTGTGTTTATTCTGTTTGGGGTTCATTAAAAATCTTGGATCCCTGGGTTAATTTTAATTCAATGTGCAATTTTCAATTTAATTCTATATGTATATTTCCACCTATATGCACTTTGGCTTTCATCTCTTGCCTCTGTCTTTCTGAGACTCCAGTTACATTTAGGTGAGACCCTTGATATTGTCCTACAGGCCACTGAAGCTCTGTTCATTTTTTCAGTTTTTCCTTTCTGTGCTTCCATTCTGATAGCCTGCTGGTCTGTGCTCAAAGCTACCGATCACTTCTTCAGGGGCCAATTTGATGTTAAGTTCTTCCAGTGGAATTTCCATTTCAGAGAGTGAATTTTTCAATTCCGGAGTTTCCATTCAGTTCCTTATTATAGTTTCAATTCCTTTGCTGAAATTTCCCACCTTACACTAATTATGTCCATTAAAAATCCTTTATTATATGTACAATAGCTGTTTTCAATTCCTTGCCTGCAACTTTCAACATGTATCATATCTGGGTGTGTTAACTGTTTTTTCTATTCCACTGACTGCTTTTTCTCCTGGTTATGAGTCATATTTTCTTGCTTTTCCATATGTCTAATAATTTCTGATTTTATTGTTGAGAGTGTAGGTTTTGTTGACTTCCTGGAAAGCAGGTTGGGCTTTGTTCTGTGCTCAGCTCTGCCCTTTTGAGACTGGATGACACCATTTTGGGGCCAGTCTCCTGCAGCCCTGTTTTTAAGGCCTAGTCCTCCTGAACGCCTGGGAAGCCAGTGAGGTCTCCCCCACACAAATTCAGTCGCCCCCAACATCTCTCAGTATAGCGTGGCGTCTCTCTTCTGCTTACAAACCCCGAACACCTGTTTTCTGCCAGGCTTTGTGGAATGTTATCCTGAGCGTGCCCAGCTTTGTGCCTGGCCACAGACGCCATGGCACCTCTACAAAGAAGGGAGCCTTTTTTGCTATGCTGGCACCCGCCTTCCTGTATCGCATCCTAAGTGCTCCAGCTGCCGCAGTAGCCCCAAGCTCTGACCCCTGTTTCCTCCGGCAGCTCTTTCGTCTGGGTCCTGCTTCCTAGGGCTGCAGTTTTGGGAAGGTCCTCCAGGGAAGAAGCCAGAGGTTCAAACGCGGAGCTCACTTTTGATATTCCCTCCTGGCAAGAGTCGGGGCCTTGCACCAATGCACAAGAGTGTGGCCAGAATTGGCACAAAAAGTGACTCTTAAATCTATGTATAAGGACCCAACACTGTTGATGATTATGTTAAATGCAAATGTTGAACAAGCAGAAAGGTCTAAATAACATTCTGACTATTCTCTCTTAACCAATATTTTATCTATTTTAAGGATCTATATGAAATTTCTTATTACTATATATTCTGCTACATTAGTAGCACAAATGTGAAACTGATTTGGTAATTACACACTCAGCTGAGAACACTAATTGATTAGTAACAGCACTATTTTTCACTAAGAACCGGAAACTATTTTTGCCAGTATCGTAAAATACTATCATATAAATTACTCTGTGGGAGATTCCATACTAGAGTTTCCACACATGTTAAATTTCAAAGTAAAAAAATAATTTAGGATAAATGAAAATATGTATATTTTTAAAAGTATCTTTTATAAAGGTTAATCATCACAGTGTATACTATGTGTCTGCACGTGCCCACCTACTAGACTGAGGAAGCGCACATGCAGACACATAGCATGCAAATTTCCACATATACCATATCTGGGTGTGTTGACAACATAACCCTCTGGTGTGGCACCTCCCACTGAGCAAAGCAGCACTCAGCCTGCAGCCTCCCGAGTCCCTGGTACCCAGGACACAGGACACCTGCACACAGGACCTTCGACTTCGCTTGGCAGAATGCAGCAGAGCCACGGCTAAATCCAGGGCAAAGGGAAGCTCCCATTGAGTGCAGTGCCACCAAGTGCTGCCAGAGGATGATGATGGTCCACAGATGATTCTTCAAAAGCCCTCAAATGACGTCTCCCTTTCCCTATCACCATATAGATATATTTACATTTAGTTTATTTATTATAAGAATTGCCTCTTTAAAACCAAGCTCAATTCATGAATCCCTGAGGAAAGAATGGAGAGACCAGGGCAACACATTTCACAGCCACGGTGCCCACCCCCCAGGTTCTCCTGACATGCCTCATGGTACCCTCAGCAAGGGGTCAACAACTCTAATTCAGTTGTGAGAAGTCTTCATGCAACAGCACTCATGCACTACGTCTTTCTATGAAGCTGTCTCTGTCATTTTTTTCTTCTTTTGACAATGTCTTTTGAATTACCAAGTGGAGCCTGCACGTAGTAAGACCAATTGCCCCCTCCTGCTCTCAGCGCTCTATCAAGAAGGTGCACCTCCCAGGTCTCTGGCTCTGTCTTCTAGCAGGTGTGTGCTTCCCTCTAAAAAGCTGGCTTCTTCCTTGGCTTGTCCATTGATCAACGGGAA